TTAAGGTAATCTTGTACTCAATATGATTTTTATTTGTTATTATCGTTACAACACTTCATTTGACTGACATATTCAGAATAAATCCATAAACATTACCATGGCAAGGCGTGCAATTTTTGCTCCTATCATTTCGCATAAGAGTCACGAGTACTATACAGGTGAGAATACGTCTTCTACTCATGACTTATTTGGAAAATTAATATGAAAATAATTTTCTGCCTAACTACACACACATACGCATACGATTCTCTTTATCCAAGCCTTGGTGAAATCTGCCTTGAAAAAAGCTCCTGAAAATATTTCGCATATTTCTTTGTTTGAATTATGAAGGAATTTCTTGTCGCATATTTTTGTGGCTTATTAACGAAATCTTGACGCTTATAAAAGAGCAATTTGATATAAATTTTGTAGTTTATGCATATAAACACCGAAAAGGAAGATGTTCACTTATTATCTTCGATGCAATTTTCCCCTGATCGGTAAGAGTGGTAGGTGTAATTAGTAGTTCGAGTGTAGTAACCTCAGCAAATGCTTATTTCAGAGTCCATTCCCTGAGGGTACAAGTAGCTCCCTTACGTTTCTAGCTTCCAAAAATTCTAATGTCTCCACAATGGTGTCTAAATTAAAGCATGGTTCAATATAATCCTCACCACAAGGATTTGGTCGTTCGCGTATCATACTCCCCGCCTTTCCCCAGGAATCCCTCTTTCGGTGGGTCAGAAGTTTATCGCACTGTCAGCCCTTGCTCTCGTGGTGAAAATCATAGCACGCGTACCTAGCAAATGGAAAAAGCACGGTTCGAATTGCCACACAGTTCATTTTTCCCGTTTCCTGCCGTCAAAAAAATCTAATGCTTGTGCACAAAATTTTTTCTCTTGTTTACCGTATGTACACCAAACGATTAATCTGCAAAATTTAATTCAGCAATTCTTTTAATGTAGCTTAGGTAACCTTTCAAAGAGATGATAGCTACCGTTTAGTAGCGGTATCCAGCAATGAAAAGTGAGCATTGTTCAGCATTTGTACCTTCACAAAGACATCAGCAAACCATGGAATATGAATAATCTCTTGTATCTTGTATCGCTAAACAACCGCTCTAGACAATCAGAACAATGTAAATTAGTTGGAGATGTTAAAAAGCGTGCAAACTTTGACAAGCGTGTAAATTTAAATTTAAGTGTTGTAAGTTGAATTAATACTCTTTTCAATTTTTAAATGATTAAGTTTTCTTCTTACTTTTAGTAAAAATTCTTTCCTTATTTCAATATAACGGATATTGAACCTTGTAGGAAGAACAAAGCTAAATTTTCAGAATGAACAAAATACTTTTATTTGAATTTTAAAACAGAACCAAAAAAAAATAAATGTTGCAGCTCTTAACTATCAAAATTTTAAACTCTTAATTATTACAGTTAAACTCTTACAACTATTAAAATACTAAACATTAAACTCTCTAAACAAAATATATAAAAATCTTCCGAATCCCTTCTTGTTGCCACACCGTAAAATGCAAATTTTATCCTATTATTTATATTTCACGTTCTCTTTAAGTCACGATCTTTACAAGTCATGATCTTTACAAGTCACGATCTTTACACTTTTTCAACAAAAAGTCATTAATTCATTCAAAAATATGAATGCGAAAATGCATTTACAACTTTTGAAACCTGAAAAACGCATGTGTGCGATGTTATCGTCATGTGATGATTTGTAGACATTTTATTTTTTTACCACGATATGTTAGACGATGATATTTTTCAATGTAGAAATAATAGGCTATTTTGAAGCAGAAGACATGAAAAATGAGAAGTGACCTCGCCGGGACTCGAACCTGGACCTCATGAATACGCGCCGAGTGTGCTATCGTCACACGACGAAGGCACACAGAAAGATGGGAGAAAATACCTTATATACTCCTCCTTTTAAAGGTCGACTAGAGATTAGGGACCCCAATCGCGAAGTCCTGGTGGCGAAGAATCATATTCCCCACCGTTTTAGTTCAGGCGCAACTGTAGAGACATTAGGCTATTTGAAGCAGAATACATGAAAAATGAGCAAAGCTCTCGCGGGACTCGAACCTGGACCTCTCGAATACCTGCGAATATGCTACCTTTGCACCACGAAGACATGAAGAAGGGAGGGAAAAAATACCTTATACCACGTGTTCTTTATTTAAGAAATGAGAAATAGTACTCCGTCGAATGGAATAAAATAGGTTGAAAAATTCAGAAACATGTAAAATAAATTAATAATTACAAATGCTGGAAAAAAAACCTTACATAAACTAATTATCTTTTTAAATGTAACTCCAGTTTTAACTTTTAGGCAGGGTGTTTTTGAGGCAGGATCATTTTCCAAAGGGAATGGATAGTACAATAGCAGAATTAGTTGCATAGCTGATTGGCTAAGCCTAACAGTTAGTTTTATCTCGCCAATTTTGGCATATTTGATTGAGGTTTCAAAGTTTTATTATGCTAATTCTTCTAACAATAGGAATGTTTCGAGTACTTTATAGCTCAAAAACTCCCAAAACCTCTCATTGATTTTCGTTTCGAGAATTGTCTTCCATTCTTTACAAATCTAAATGCTAAGACTAAAACTTTAACGCATCTATAATTTCTATTATCAACAAAGAAAGCACCTCATTGGTTACGACTGAGTGGTGTCACCCAAAAATGAACAAAAATTAAAAAAGCCACACTCTGCAGTCGTCCAAAAATTAAAAACATTTTGGACGACTACAGGGTGTGGCATGACCATAGATGTCTAAATATTCTTGGTGATATTAAACTCAAGAAAAGAAACACAACCTGTGTGAATTCATATTCTATTTATATGTTGTTGAGGTATGCTTAGCCTCCTGATTCGTAGAAATAATCTTTCATATTTTTCTATAGATGTTTCTTAACAGTTAAATAAAACAATTGAGTTTTCTTCCTTTCCGTGTCCATTTCTGCCATGCAAATTCTGACAACGACGGTTGAGGAAAATGAAGTCGAATGCTCTAATTTGCTATAACACCCCAATTATCTTTATCAGTTGATGGTGACATACGTTAAAGATCGTAAATGTGGGGAGGGGAGTTATAAATTTGAAGTGCTTATTTTAAATTGTTACGTTGACGTAACTATTCTAATGTCTATAAAATTTGCTGTCTAATTCCCTTTAAACCTGAAGATAAATTCTTCATACAATCTTTGTCACGAAATGCCCACCTGCGGTAAGATAGCTTCTCTAATAAAAAAAAATATAAGTCTATAATAAATCAGACTGGATAGAATTTAAAGTAATAAACAGAGAGCGTTATTCTACGCAACGTTTTTTCACAAACACCGATGACGAACTGTTACACATACACAATTATGACATCAGAGTTTCCTTTTACAAATAAACACTACCCCCATCTTTTGGAAATCTTAGGATACATAATCACAAACTTATATTTAACACCCACAAAGCGGGCTTAGGTTTGCCAGAATGTGGCAAGGAAAGACAAGGTTGCTAGATTTAGCACGATATAGCCCATTTGGCGACAAAATCGGCGATAGGCCCTAGACGGAGCGAGGATATTTCTAGAAAGGATTCGTGCCGGTTTTCCCCAAAATGTTCTCGAATGCAGGCCAAAAGCTATATAAACCCTGCATGTACGCGGAGTAGCAGTTTATCATGAAACTCATTCTGAGTTCAGAGATTAGCTTCAGAGTTATCGACCGAGTCGGGATCTGTACTTTAGAGCTTTGATGAGAAGTTATCTTCACCATTATAGCCTGAGAACCTAAAGGCTACGATGCTGATTGTTTCAGCGTGTTTGTCATAGTTTTTCGATGACTGTGAACGCTCTTTGGAGCTGTCATATGAAATACTGACGCAAAATTGTGTTTTAATTCTTTATCAATTTTTTGGTTAATTACTCCTAATTCCCGAACCCGTAGAACGCAACAATATATAGATTTTGAGATAGTTTTCGTGCTCATCATGACGAGAAATCAGATGTTACGAAAAATGCGCCAACATAAAGAAGTTCCTTTTAAATCTTCGTTTGTATTCCATATGATTTAATTTCATTCATTCATATTATCATTAACCATAATTTTACATTTAAACACATATATTTTCTCCCTCTATGTTATATCCTTTATATTTATTTTGTATGTTCTGTTATGGAATAACAATATTTATTTCCATAATTTGCTTCAGCGCAATTTTTTAATTTCTCGTAAAGCAATATCAAACATCATAACAAAATAAAAAATTAAATAAATAAGCAAAAATGCACTCAGACATGATTCGTCAAGTATTATTAAAACATTTTTTCCATTTCCGAACTGCGCATTAACAATAGATTAAAAGATAATGTTACGAATTTTGTCCATAGATAGATGATTTGTAGTGCAGATATATGTGAAACTGTTATTTTTTGTGTAATTTGTTTTTTTGTTTGGCGAGATATCCCCAAGCTGACAAATATTTTGGCATCTTATTTTGTTTGACGACCATTTGGCGACATTGTGTTCCGTTCCCTAATATGTATTGAAATTGAAGAAATATAATTGACTGCTGTGTTGGCTGCAACCGTAATTCCAGTCTTATTGCTCCCCAGTAATTTCGAGAAACAGAAAGAACTAGAAATATCTCGGTGGCCGGTTGAAAATTATAAAAGCCCGGAAAGAGAGCATCTGAGTTCCAGTTGCTTACTTATTCTTGTTGCGAGTTGTAGTTCCGCGTGAACTGAGGTAAATCCGAGTTATTTTTATCTTTAGATGCGCTTTGCACTGAATTGTGTTTAACGTTCTTAGTAGTTTGAAGTATAACTTCTGATTGTACGGTGTAATATTGTGAAAACTTGTACAAATATTTCTATCGAAAATTTCAGAGTTCTGAAATATTTCTTTTAATAAAAATAAATTTTTATTAAATTTATTATCGACTTGTGTATTCAAACTCTTATGAACCCGTACGCAAGCAACAGTAATATAGATAATTACGAAGATTATAGTTACCTGATCATATGGTTTGGATGCAATGACATCAAAATATTTCCATACTTCCTCCCAAAATTTTTCATAGTTTTCTATAGACCACTTATGAAAATCCCAATAAGAATCTGTAATAGAATCAGAGGCATATATGTTTTTATATTATAGGAAAAAAGCTTCAATTTACGAAGTTTTCATTCACTTTGTATTATATATAAAACGTCTACAATAAATACAGAAACGTGTATAAAACTAAATACAATTCTGTATTTCAAAACGGTTTCTGTCGTTGTACCTACCTTTCCATCTATATGTACGAATTTTATCGTACAGTTACGTTTAATTGTATCTATGGAGAGTTAACATGATTAAAAGAAATATAAAAAACATCACAGTAATATTATAAACAGTTTAAGCACTTTGTCAACTTACTGAAATGCAGGTTGTGTTTCTTTTCTATGATTTTCTTAAATTTGTCAAGTTCTGCATTTGGAACTTTTTTATTCCATACGAGAGGAGGGCTCCATTCACCTCCTTTGCTAGTTCCAGTTTTTGACACTTTTCCTAAAAACAGGAAAAATTTGCAGTTATTAAACGCATTTTTATACAGTATAAGCAGTCTCCATTTGTACTTCCATTTGTACTGAATTGGAAAATGCCCAAACTATCTGCGTCTACAGATTCATTCACAAAGCTTACATGTGCGTATTTTTAAATTTTGAATATGTACGCATTAAAAAAATACTTATATTCTTTGTCTGATTGATTTGTTTGTGTAAATTCATTCGTATTTAAATGAAAATTTAATGGAATCTTTTTTCGGATGTTGATCTCAAATGAATTAGAAGAACGAAGCATATTAATCGATTTCTATGAAACTTTAATTTTTCCCCCCTAATTAGTTCTGAATCAGGGTTTCAGATTATAGGAGTTCAGTTTAAAGGAGATTAATTTTTATTTTTATATTTTTTTTTCTTTTCGCATTTTTATTTTTTGGGTTTATTCTACTGACGAATTTTTATTTTAATTTGGATTTGTTTAGATCCTGTATTAAAACTCTTATCCACGCTTGCGATTATTAATATTGTTGGGGAATTGCCTTGTTTTGATTCTAATTGAATTTTAACCTTAGATGTTTTAAATATATATATATATATATATACTTTCGGTACTACGGAGATCGCATTAAAAAGGGATATGCACAACTATCGATGTTATACCAGTCCCATATACAAAATTTCAACTTTCTACGAATAATCGCTTAAAGTTGTGCAATATACATGCATACGTACGTACAGAGGTCACGAAGAAAATCAATATTTAATCCAATTAACAATCTGTGTCAATACTGACATTGCACAAAAAATGTTCTATGAATTAGGGAAGGGTCGAAATGGATATTTTATTTAAATACTAGCAGCTTCGCTGCCAGCCTTCGTCTGGATTTTAAATGTACCGGAAAAATGGCTGAAAGGAATACCAAACGTTAAATTTTAAAAACTGCGTAGAATTTTACTCTGCAGAACAACTTCATAAAAAAAGTTCACTTCATAACAAAATTACAATGAAATAAGCAATATCCCTTAATACAAATATTAATTATCCTAATAAATAAATTAACCAACTTCCATTTGCAAAATCTCAAGAACTCAAATGGTATAAAGGAGGTTAAGAACTTTGTTTCCTAAAAAAAAATCACTCAAAACTTTTCAATATCTTAAAAACAGTGAAATGAGCAATAAATAACATAAAAGAATACAAAAAATTCTGAAAAGCAAAGTATAATTAATGATGTTTTATCTCATATTTTCAAGAGAAAAAAGTTACAATGAAATAAGCTATATCCCTTAATAAAAATATTAATCATCCTAATAAAAAATTAACCAACCTTCCGTTGAAGAAAAAATAAATTATGCAAAACTTTTCAATATCTTACAGACAATGAAATAAGCAAAAAATAACATGAAAGAAACTCAAAAAACAAAAATTTTCGCGCAGAATTTTACTCTGCACGACAACTTTATCAAAAAAATCAATAAAAATGTATTATATATATATAAATATGACAATGAAATATACCACTCTCTTAAAAACAGTGACATAAGAAAAACGATGAAAAATTGGTGCCAAACCCATATTTCTAAAAGAATGAAACTCTTCGAGGTGCACTGACTCTTGTCTAGATGCACCTACGTACCAAATTTCGTAGCCGTGGGTCTATTAGCTTGCGCGCAGCACGAACGAAAGACATACACATACACACACACACACACTCTTTCTTTTATTATATGTAGAGATGATACCCAAAACATTCCGCTGTTAAAATACTTCGTTTACATACTTCATTTACTACGTACGGCCAGTCAGCTTTTCTCACATTATGCAGTTTATTCGACGCTCATGCAATTTTAGTTTGAGGCTCATTATAAAGAATATTTTATTCTATTATTATTAAATATTTAATAAACTACGGTAAATTACTTACTACGGTGATCGGAGGATTTTATTAAACGTCAGATTTCGAAATTTTGTCAAAGTAGAATTTTAAATTTAAAAGGGCCAAACCTGTATATTTGCGTTCATTTAAATCATTTTGTAGGAAAGTAAATATCTAAGAGCAATGATTGCGAATAGAAAAGTTGAATAAAAGACTTTTCAGGCACAGTGAGTATACCCATGCCTTTAAACTTATCATGCAAAACAAAGAAATATTTTCAGTGCATAGAATCTTAATAAGATGAAGATAATAAAACATAACTTTGTTCAATTTGTTATTGTTACTAAACCATAAAAGAATCTTACCTTGTGTAGATTTTAACATGATTATTATTCTTCAGATGAAATATTTTTCGAATATTTTGCAGTCTGCATAAAGTTATCATAGGAAAAGTACCTTAATCCATTTCTTCTTGACGCTTTTATACGAGAAGAAATTTGCAAAACATATGATGGTTTAGCTTACTCTATAATCTAGGAATATATTAACGAAATCTGCCAATCATTGTGGAATTTCTGAAGCTAGTTTTCTTGAAGTTTCCAATTACATAAAATGATATGCAACTTTAAAGTACTCCGTAAGATGCTGCATCATGACGCTTTTCTGATTAAGAATCCCATTTTTGAATAAGTTGCAGCGTTCTTTGGCCAAAGAATTTATAAAAATCTTATTAGTCCAAAGGGATTTGAATCCCGAAGGACTATTAGTTTCGTTTTGGCATTTTGCGTCGGACGGATAAATGTCGGTTCACTTTTCAAACTGTTGCCATAAAATGTTAGAGTACTGCATTATATTTGAAGAAATTAAATAAATAATGGAAAATCTGCGTAAATGTATGTATATTTCTCCCATTGTCATAAAATAACGGTACATAGAGTCATCGAATTTTGAATAACGTAATCCTCCAACGAATATGAGCATGTGGAAGACCAAATTTGAAATTTGAAATTTGTTTTATGATCGATTTCCTATTTTTAAAACTTTGACGAATTTTTGATTAACAAACTCAAAGATTTCAAAGCGAGCAATGGCAACGTTGTGCAGAAAAACATTTTTATCTCCAGCGCGTGAGTCTCTGTATCGGAAATTCTAAAGATATGCTCGTTTAAAACTATTTTGCGATATTGCTGTTGCACTGGATCTTATGGTTTAAGTGCGAGGAACATGATATTTAATAAAGAAAGGTAACACACAAAATGTTAAAAAACGCCCCTTTGGACGTAATTTAAAATCTGAAACATTTCAGATTTTTATTTATTTATTTTTTGTTTATTTTCTTAATTTATTAAAATCTGAGAAATATTAATCGTACTGTTTATAAACAACAAAATTGTTTAATCTTTGAATGAAATCCAACCTAAATATCTATATCAAATAGTGAAAGCACTGTTAAGTATGGCACAAGCGCGTAATCTATTTCGTTTCTTTACCCTCTCGGGGTTTCGACTCAGACGACTACTCGTGACGTCACAATCCAGTGTCCATGCTTTCTTCTGTTAGGAGGTGTTGGCTGACCACTACACCACGAAGGCTAGCTAAGAAGGCGGGAAAAACACCTTATAGTTTTTTGGCTACGGGTTCGTAATGTATTGATAGCATTTTTGGTCCGGTCCCTGTATAACATGTAATTGGTATTGTAACTTCAATCGCACATGCCTATGAGTAAGTTCAAGAATGGAAGACACTATAGGTTTCTCGGTGGCCTGGTAAAAACTACATAAGCCTGATGAAAGCATCAGTTCTCAGTTTCTCTACGTGACGTTCGCTCGTTCCGGGATATATTTCATGAAACAATCATCACGGGACCCATAGTGGGATTTTTTTAGGATTGCAGAAAAGTACTATTGTTATAGAAAAAAGATCCTGCAAAAATCACGCAAGCATCAAAGAATTAACATTTATTTTACCAAAAAGAAGACTTTAACGTTCTGGAATTTTCTACAAAAGTACTCGTGCAACTCTTCTCAGTATCACAGGGCTCGATCAATAGTTGCACTTCAGACTACTAAGAACATTAAACACAAACGAGTGCAAAGCATATTTAACTCGGCATTACTCGCTTGAGAAAAAAGAACGGAATTGCACCTGCTGGGTGTGACATACCCAGGGCGGTTTCTTCCTCTAATTTACCATTAACTCTGCACAAAGTATAAAAGAACAAAAACATGGAAGAGAAAATATAGTTTTAAACATATATTAAAATTTTTACCTTTAATTTGCATATTTTCGGCAAATTCATGCCATATGAACCATGGATACATGTTTTTCACATTATTCACAGACAAATTTATCTTTTCTGTCTTATTTGACCCCGCATTCAGCATACCTTTTATATGTCGTCTTTGCCTTCTTAGCAGGAGGTGTGTCGGCCTCATTGTTGCCCAGTTTTACTTTTAGGCTTTGTAGGAGCATTCCTTGTTGACTTCTTGTCGTTCTATAATCTTCTATCACTTGAAATGCCAGTGTTTTCATACATGAGCGTCGGGCTCGATGCCCAGTAGGTGGTTTCTTTGTTGATAAAAAAAAATATGCGTGCATTTATTGCATCAAAATTCAACAAGGAATAAAAAAACGCCATAGGCCAAAGACTTGTTTTTTAGCCGTTGAATATGTTGCAGCTATTTCATCCACGAAGTCCATAAATTCTATTTTTAGCAGAAATTCTATCATTTCCAAGGAATTTCATTTAACTTCATTTTTTAATTTTATTTTCTATAAAATAGTCATTTTCATTTGAATCAGAAAGATCGCCCTCTAAATCAAATTCTATTTCAGACGAAGATTCGTGTTCAGTATAAATTTCTTCATCATCCACCTCTTCATTATCGGAAAACTCATTACCTTCCTCACGACTTTATTCATCCGAAGAAACAGTATCAAATAAATTTCTTAAATGTCGCATTTCTTCATCACAACTTAAAACGCGCCATAATGAGGGTACGATTTCAATGAGTCTACCAGTACTCGAAATTCTAACAGTAATGCTCGCGCTGGGTGTGACATACCCTGGACTGGGGATTACAAAATATCTATTTTTAGAACTATTTACCTTAATCTTCACTTCAAAGGTTATGACCTTGAGGCAGCTATAAGAAATATCATCCATTTTTAAAAAAAGGTTGGAGAGAAACAGCGAAGAAATTGGGGGGGGGTATGACATACCCAGCGCGATCTAACCCGGGTTAAAGAGCGTAGCTCTCACAGAGATATCTCAATATTCCGTAGCCAATTCTGAACTAAGAAACTGAGAATTTTAATTCTTTGATGCTTGCGTGATTTTTGCAGGATCTGTTTTCTGTAACAATAGTACTTTTCTGCAATCCTAAAAAAATTCCACTATGGGTCCCGTGATGATTATTTCATGAAGTATATCCCGGAACGAGCGAACGTCATGTAGAGAAACTGAGAACTGATGCGTTCATCGGGCTTATGTAGTTTTTTTCCAGACCACCGAGAAACCTATAGTGTCTTCCATTCTTGAACTTACCCATAGGCATGTGCGATTGAAGTTACGATACCAATTACATGTTATACAGGGACCGGACCAAAATGTCACCAAATGGTCTCCAAGTCTGCTGACTTTAATAAGCAATTTCTCTCCAAATTCCGTAACAAAAATTAGCTACCAAAGATTAAAGATTTTATTAAGTTTTTTCGCATTGAATTTTATTTAAAATTATTCTACATGCTTTCTCCGCCATTTAGTTCTGTACATTTCATCAGTGGTAATTATGTACTTCTGCTGGTTTATGTTTTTATTTACTAGTTTTTATGGAAATTTGATCTACAGTTCTATTTTTATATTGTTTTTTATAGGGATTCTTTATATGGATACCCGTTCTATGTACGGTTTCTATGTATGGATACTCTGCTATGGTATAATTTTATTTTTGTTCATGGGTTTTTGACTACTGTTTTGTGCAGCGAGTTTTTCAAGAGGTACCCTTGTTGGTCTGTGGATTTTTGTGGTCTGTGGTTTTTACAGTGATATGGCCTTATGAATACCCATACAGCTGTACGTGTTTTTGTCTACTGGTTTTTACGAGGCATAAACCTACGGAATACCCATTTTTTTAAATGGAGATTTGGCCTATGGATATGCATAACGTTCTGATTTCTGGTTATGGGGTTTTACTGGGATTCCGTTTATGGTGCCTTCAGTTCTATAGGTTTCTACAGAGATTTTGCCTACTCGTATCCGTACAGTCGTACGGGTTTCTGTTTATAGGTATTTACAGGTATTTGGCTTATGGGTACCCATACAGTTATACGGGTTTCTGTTTATGGGTTTTTACGGGGATTTGGCCTATGGGTACCCGTACAGCTGTGCGGGTTTCTTTCTATGAGTTTCTACGGGGATTTCGCCTACGCGTACCCGCAGAGCTGTACGAGTAACAGTAGGCCAATTCTCCGTTAAAAAGTTTCTGTGGGGCATTTTCAGCAATGTACACAAATAAACAAAACCAAACGTACGTACGTATGTACTTATGAATGGGCAGAATATAATGCATTGTGACGAATTTTGTTCACAGATAATATTATTAGTGAAGTTATGTATGAAATTGTTATATTTTTCAGTATATTGTAACGTGAAAGCTTGAGAAAAATTATGTTTAGCCGGAAAAGTAATAATACAGGGGCAAGTCTGTAGGGTTTATATTTATTTTAACTAACATTTATTTTAAGTTTAAACTATCTTTCCTGTCAAGCCTTACTTTCCCCTGGAACTGCCAATGCCAGAATATGTAAATTTGAGTAGAACGCGCTAGGATTCAAATTATCAGCGGAAGTATTCTGATTTAAATAGCAGGAAACGAGTTCGGTGTGATATTCTTACTGCACGAGCGCGGAGGTAGTTAGCGAGAATTGAAGAACCCCGCGTTGCGGCCTATGTGCTTGGCGGGAAGTAGTGGTAATCGTTCCAGTGAGCTTCAAGTCTGCTGAATTAGCAGCGGTATTGTAAAACGCGGTGAGTTAGTTATTTTAGAGAGCCTCGTAGTTAGAATCTTGTCTTTACTTTCTTTTCAGGTTATTATTTTTATTTTGACTGCCAAGTTGTCACAGTCTGTGAGCGTCAAGAGCACGCAATTGTAATTTTATTACGTTGAATAAAAAGGGACTTAACCCCTTCACAAGGCTCTATCTTTTATACAAGTTTTCACAGTCACCTCTTGGTTGCGTGCAAGTTGGAGGCGCGCAACGTTATAAGTCTATTTAACATGAAGAAAACGGCTATCTCACTAATTTGGCCGAACGTGGCGACGTTTTGGCGACATTTTGGTAGCTGTCACAGATATTGTAATTGAATAACTGTAACTGATCCTTATGTTAGCTGTAACCATACCCGGCCCTCATATAGCTTTTAGTAATTTCGAGAAGTAGCATTAGAAGCATCTCGGCTGCCAAGTGAACCGGATAGAGCAATAGTTTCTCAGTTCTTGTTGGTTGTTTAGTTCGGAGTATTGAGATATCTCTGTGCAAGCTTCGCTTTACATTCTGTGGCGCTTAAGGTTCTTAGAAGTTTCAAGTGTAACTACTGACTGCACTCTGCAATGCTATAAAGGGGGGAGTTGTACATTATTATTATTATTATTATTATTATTATTATTATTATTATTATTATTATTTTGTGTGTGTGTGTAGAAATTACCAGTACAGAGAATTATTTCTTTTGTTAAAGTAACTATGACGAACCTGTAC